AGAGAGAGAGAGAGAGAGAGAGAGAGAGAGAGAGAGAGAGAGAGAGAGAGAGAGAGAGAGAGTTTTTGGTTGCTGCTGCTGGCGGCCATAGCCACCCAGCTTGTACAAGCAAACTTGTTGTATAAGACATTGATTTCCAAGGAGTTTCTGAAGTTCTCATTTCTCGTGTTCGGCTTCCCACTCTCATGTGAAGAAGTACTTTCTGTGTTTAGTGAGACGCTGCTCGAACTGTGGGCTCATTACACACCGGTATTGGAGCAGACTTTCATCGTCTTCTTTGCGATTCGAGTAAGCCACTGCTGCGGTACAAGGACTCAGGCGGGGAGGTGCCAGAGTTGATGGGTGGTGAATCTCTGGTGATGGAGCAGGTGGGGTTGACTGAAGAACAAGGGGTTAGAAAGGCGGAGGGAGACTTGGCTGTTAACACTGGAAGTGGTCTGCCGGCAGTATTGGGAACTCTCATAGCCGATTGTCATTTGGACATATCTGGATTTTGATGCTTTTGGCATTTGAACTGTTAACGTCAGTCAAACAGTTTCTCGTAGCCTCTTTGAGTTTATTCCCAGTGCAAGCCTGTCCCTACTATTGGTGCTCTACATTATTCTTGCTGTCTCATGAGGCCGGGGGCTTCCTAAAAGCACTGTCAAAGGGGCAAAAGAGCTAGGACCTTTCCGCACGTCTCAGAACTCTAGTGCCACATGCCTCTAGGCCTTAAAAACCGCACTTCCCTCGTGCACACACCACATGCCTTGAATAGTCTGCACCCATCAGCATATGGGCTTCGTTGCCTGTTGATCACAGAACCAAGCCCAACCTCCTCTACCTGCAGTAATTTATAACTAATTTGAAATTTTCGTTCTCACATTCTCACATGAATGCATGCACATTACAGTTTAACTGTTTTTTAACATACTACCAATAGCACTTGCCAAAGCTCCCAGTAATGGAAAATAGGCCATGGACTGGGATCGACTAATTCATCATGACGTTTTCGTGAACTTATTCCGCATATAGTCGCTGCCAGGACTTTCACAATTTGTGTTTGATGATCTGACCAAAAATCACCAAATTTAGTGCAGCATGATACATAAAGGTGAGGAATGTAGCCGTCATGAGCAGTACCTGCATGACTTCTGCGGGAAGGCCAAGTCCACTGAAGGCTGCATCCCCATGGAGAAGAACACCCTGTAAAAGACCCATGCACAAATGATGTGAGAAATACAATGCACATTGAATGGGCAATGCGGCAAGAACAGGAGGGGTTAGCCCTTCAGCACCCCTAGCTAAGTGCTGTGAGAATCATGTGGAAGCTTTTTAAACCACCGGTACTTGGCCCAGCTATCGGCCGCGGAAAAGAGTAGGGTAGAAACGTTTCTAGTCAGATGAATTTGGGCGCTCCTGTAGTAGCCCGTACGTTTCCTAAAATCGTGGCGCGTTAACGGGCCCGACTCTAGGAAGTACTGTTGGTTTAAGAAACTTTTATGGATGAGGATATCTCCCAAGGAGGCATGTTTGTTATCATAAATTTTGGGCATAACGTAGTCTGCTTACATACCACTCTGTGGTTGATCTGTCTGTTCATCACTGTGCTTTTTCATGAAATGCTGATAGCAATACTGAACCTTGGGCACATCTTTATTTACAAATTTATAAAATTTATATTTATTATTTATTTAAAGAAGATAAAGAAAAGGGGGGGAAAAAGTGAAAAAGAAAAAAGACAAAAAAACTTTAAAATGGCGGAAAATCGACGTCAAGTCTTTCCCATATAACATTATTCACATTTCTTGCGTGTTGATACAAATTTGAAGTTTCTGATTTCGAGGCCAGAGGATGACACACACAAATCACAAAATGGCATGGGAAAAAATATTCAAAGTTCGAAAAAGAAAAAGGTGTCCAGTGCCTTTAACCAGGAGGCTCCTCTCTAAGGCATGCTTGCCATCTTCTTTCGTCACTCTTGATGTTTCTCTAAGAGTAGGAGTCGCATGCCTCCGTGAGAGAGAGAGAGAGAGAGAGAGAGAGAGAGAGAGAGAGAGAGAGAGAGAGAGAGAGAGAGAGAGAGAGAGAGAGAGAGAGAGAGAGAGA